ACGTTATAGGTATCACAGAATAGATGTTATAACTGTATCGAGAATTTTTACCTCGAATTAAATAAGAATATGAATTTCGACTTTTGCGAAAGTTGATTTGTTCGATTACGTAAAACGTAACGCGCAATTTTATTTTATTATAAAAACCATTTCCCAAATGCGGGGCCAGATTATTTTGGTTTTATATTTTATAAAGCAATTAAATATGATGAAAACATTTTAGCATTAAATTACAGCGTTGTCTGAAACTATATTTATACGTGCGCAATGGAAATTTCTATTTTATCACGGTAAAAGAATGTTCATATTTTATTGCAATAAATTTGATTAATAACCAAATGCGTACGTGCGTGCACGCAAAGCAATGCTGTTATTGTGGCCATCGTGTACGCATTGCTAATAGTCATGTCATTAACATTTGCGAAAATACATTTCGTCGCTCTTTAATTATACATGTTACGGATCTCAATTTGGCGTTACATTTCTCGTACAAGATATTATACACTTATATGTTTATACATTTTAGTATAATTCCTGTACATCTAATATTATATATTAATGGAATGATTAAACGTCTTTTTCATTTTAATAATTTAGTTTTATATATGTTTATCTTACTAAAAACGAGTTACATATGTAATTAAAAAATGACCAAGATATTTTTCTCAACTTATTTATATTAAATGATATCTTCAATTAAACAGAATTAAAAAAATATTTGTGTAACCTCTTTTAAGAGAAAGATGAAGAAGTTAATAGCAACCATCAAATTAAATATATGATTTTAATTAAAAATGCAAAAAGCCAGAAAAATAAAAATGTCATAATTAACTGTCTCTTTCGACTTCAAACATCTTTAATATAATTGAATATAATTATTCTGTGGATCGCAGAACATAGGTTGCTAGCATAGTATATCTTAACTTTAAAAAATACCTTCTGCTGCATAATGTTGTTAATGCATTAAAATTAAAAATGAAATAAAATTACATCAGTAAGTGTAATTATGTACTGAAATAAAAAAATTGCAATCGCTTAATTACAGATAAATTAATCGATAAAAGCAACAATGTGAATTTGCATATCAGTTTTATAAATATCGAAACTAAAGTTTACAAAATATTTTTTTCTTGGATATTAACTGATACTACGATCTTTATTTTGCTGTGGTGCAAACTCTGCGCTGCTGGTGTGAAGTAACTCTCTATTACGATACGCTATTAAACTTTGCGACGATGATAAATAGCACGGAAGATATTTGAAAAATGTAGCGCGCGATGCAATGAATTAAGTAAAGTTGTGATTTAATAAGAAAAAAGGGAAACGTAAAAAATTAGAATTATATTTATAGATATTAGTTTATATAAAATATATTATAATTTTATACGATTCAATGCAATGCAATATTTTAATAGAGGCTCACGCTCATCCTTCATGACATTTCTAAAGCTGATGATCAACTAATCGTCGAAAATTTATGACAGTCCGAGGATGAATGGCATCGAAATCTTAGAGAAGTTCCCGTTACTCGTGCGGATATAAAAATCGTCTAGTATCTATAATATCGTTACTGTTTCAAGCCCAGAAAAAGAATGAGCGTAGACACAGCACTTCACCTCGCTGTTTGCCCCTAGGGCTATTGGGATTCCGTAGAGGTTTGCACTCAAGTATCTCGAGAGATCGCTAGCTGTTATATAAATCGTATCTCCTAAATTGGAAAACAATCTCAGTCGGCGTGATTCCTTTACAGTGCGGAAAACCATGTCTCCGAAGCACTCGGAGAAAATGAAGTAGTCACTTACACGTGACGGATTGCTTGTCATATAACATCCCGAGAAAAAAATGCCTCAAAAATAAATTTGCACAAAAATCGTACAAACAAAAATGTAATCCACAGCTTTTATCGTACGATATTATATATGGATACTGTGCACAATTATATACCTACGTTATATGAAATAAGTGATTATTACGCATAATATTGATCAAGATACGAGAGTGAAAATCGACTGTAATGAATATTATAGATTGATTCATTGGTAATTATATTAAAATGAATCTTTCCAATATTACAGTTGACATATATAAAAGCCCATAGCTTATTATTGTAGATTGTACAGATTTTATATATTTATGAATGGATTAAATTTCTAATTAATTATGCTATTAAAATTTTAAATATTTTCAATATTTTCAAAGTAAATTCAACAATTTATAAGAATATCCAGTCATTACATGTGAACAAATTGTAATACTTAAATATTCTCTCATATAAATAATCGATTTATAAAAATAATTAATTTATGAAACGTTATGTATTATAATTAAATATAACAATTAAATATTGTTTCTTTAACAGTATATATTGACGTCATCAAAACAAAAAATGTAAAAAAAAATGAATCATTAAAAGAGCCAAAAATATGCAAAATATAAAAAAAGTAAAATAAAATATATAGAATAATAAATATTGTATCGCTTATATATTCTGCAAATTATAATTGTATCTCTTTCTCCACTGCATTATTTAAATCATACTATAAAACATCCAGGGCAGTTTTACTTTCCCTAATGAAGTCAAACGTGCTTAGACCACGTGTTGGAATCGACGATTCCTTCACAAGACAATTCCTTAATAAGACAATTGGCCATTTACCGTAATCCCTGATAGCTCTTGTCCGTACGTCACTTATTTAATGATTTTATTACGCCTTCCTCTCCAATCCCCTTGTTTAATTCCTCGTGTTACCATCTAATTCCTCGATAACGGAGGAAGCATCGGGCTCCTTCTCGGAATAACAATGGGCATTCTCTCAGTGTCCTCCCTTCACGCCGGAGCACGTTCCAGGGCTTAATTATTTCCAAGTGCGATCCTCTCTCGCGTCTCTGCCGGCGGAAAAGTTGAAGAGGGACAAAGACTCGGCGGAAATTTACTCGTTGCATATAACAAGCTAAATGGTTAACGGTTTCTGGAATATTATGCGCAAGGTTGTATCTTTGTTTCTGTGCGCCTTCTCGTGCAATATTTCCTATTATCTTCGCAATCGAGCGGCAGCTTCGAGCAGCCGTGCATTTTATCGAGTGAACATAAATCAATTATTTTCCACGCACGTTATCATTTCTCAATAAGTCATAAACTATTTGGGTGCAGCTTCGAATGACCCCTGCTTCCGATCGGCCTAAAATTTTAAACATAAATTGTTTTCGATGCCAAGAATAAAGTGCGTGTGTTCCTAACTTCGGGAAATTAAAGAAAACAATTTTTTTATAAAAAATCTTATTGACTAAAATTAATTATATATGATGTACATACATATATAACATGTATAATATATATGTAATTTTCCACGCGAAGAGAGGTTCAATCCAAATCTATGTGTCTAGTTTTTCAATAGTGGAACCCCCCTATAAATAGTAGGCTCATAAGCGTGCATATATATAAATTATATGTATAACATTATTGTTTTTTTTCTTTCCTTTCATTTTTTGAAGTTGGGAACACGCGCACTTTATTTAACATCAAAAACCACTTATGTTTAATATTTCAGACCTATCAGAAGCAGGAGTCATTTGGAACTATATCCAAATATTTTATCACATATCTCTGCGATCTATGCACATTATATATATATATATATATGTATGTATGTATATATGTATGTATGTATGTATATATATAATTAAATGAACTTTGAAAAGTAAGTCAAAATATATTCAGGAACGTTGAACCGTTTCTATCGAATCGATCATGCATTCCAATTTCTGCGAGAGGTACGATATAAAAGTAACTTTCCGAGATTTAACTAAACTGTTAATATAGCTCTATTAAAACTAGGACATTGAAGAGTAAATTTATGCTCGAATTGTAAATTGATTTAACGTGTAATTAAAAATTAAATCGCTGTAACTGTGCAGTTCGTATTAATAATATTATACCTTTCTTGTTCTCTTTCTCTCAATTTTTTCCTTATCTATCTCTCTATTTTTATCTTGACTTTTTCTAATTGTCTAAGTTGTTTTTAACTTCTTTTATACATATATTATAAATATATAAATAGTAACAATTCAATCAATGTAAACGCTCTATTACTAAACTATGAAAATAGCTTTAGAATGATATAATACTTATTTATTTCACCGAGTGTTTATATCGTGAGATATAAAGCACGATTATAAAGTTTCCTACGTTTTATAATTAGTGAATAATTTACGTGTCTTGGTAATGCGTACTTAAATAAGGTTTGGCTTGAACAGACGAAAAAAAAGAGAGTATCAGAGATTTTCGATCTCGGACGGACCACGGATATGGAAGGAAGTCACGCGCGAAGCGGTTTCATCACGTGTAGATTCCACTGTGATGGGTGTAGTGGCGTGAGGACGAAAATTGATTGCGTATAACGCCGTGACGACGTAAACTGGAAATGCGTGCTCGCGCGACGACAATGATTCGCGACGCGTGTGCGCGCGTGTATGTGTGTGTGTGTGTATCACGTACGCAAATCAGATTAATTAGCACGTAGGCGCGGAGAAACGAGGAAGGCCAACAAATCCATAGGCACCCCAGATAGCCAATGAAGAACCATGTCCAAAATGCACCCATTAGACATCTTTAAGATGTTTTCAATATGTCTTTGGGATATCATATCATAAGATTTCTTAAAGATTTCCTAATGATGACTTATGCATGCATTTTAGACATGGTGCTATCTTAGACGAATCCTCATTTCGATAAGGTCTCGCCGCGCCGAGAGATCGAGTGGCTGCGCGAACCATCGAGATATGCTGGCGAAGGTGATCACAAAAGAGGAAGAAAGAAAGAAAGAAAGAGATTGAGGAAGTAAATAGAATTCCGAGAAGCTCGAGGCACTAAACTAGACATCTCACGTGTCCTATAAACCCTAGGCTTTGATCCTAATCGCAACTAGAATCTGAGCTGTCGTCTGCCTAATCGAGTTTAAGCGCTTCGGATCCACTGCGTAATCGGCGCTCGAGACTCATACCTGATTATGCTGCTAGCTATTCGCAACATTGTTACCTGCTGAATCGTGTAATAAACTTGCCAACATGAATAGTTTGAATCCTTGATGGTCGTTCGCTGAACGTAACCGCGCTGATAAACGGGACTGACGACGTTTCGTATATGAATTTACCGATATTACCAATATAACAGTCAAAGTTTAAGATCTCGCATGCTTGACTGTAAACAGAGAGAATAAGGGATGATTGAAAAATCGCTCATCAAACCCAATAATTTCTCAGATAAAATATATATTTTAATGATCCGATTTTTTCATTGATTCGTAGACTTCGATTTTCGAAGCTCGAGCGCTCTTAAAAGTCGCACGCGCACGTATTAGTAGAACGAGTAAATATAATGTCAGCCACGTAACGTGTCGTTGGCATCAAAAGTATGTCAGCGTCGTCACTTCGTTTCAGCATTGTTCTCGCTAGCGCTGATAGACGTCGTAACCATAATCTATAACACCCTAAGAATACGCTCCGGCTAATTAACATCGGAATGGGCAGGGAAGAGCGGCTGGCGGGTGCGTTTTCATTGCGCCAGCAATAAATCCAGGAAGCAGATAAGCGTTATCGCGGTCTTTCGCCAGCACCTATCTGTAGCAGTCGTGGTTTCCCTATTCTCGAGCAGACACACGAGACTACCACGTAACGCGGTCGCCATTGCGATCGTTATAGACGATTCATCGATCGGCGGCTTACCGAGATCGAAATGATCGAAGACTACCGGGGAACGTAAACGATTGTGATTTCATGTAGTTAGACGAGTTCAATTGAGTAAATTATCTTTTACTAATACACTTCCACTTTACTTTTTACCATAATTGTTATATCTTTTATGTTTGATGTAAGTAATTAGATTGTTTTGCGTTTATATATTGGAAATAAAAATGTTATAAGTAAATTATAATTTCGTTCTGATATGACAAAAATTGTATTCTCGAAATTTAACGTATACATCGGAAACTTAATTTTAAACATATTATTTGTGCGCGTAAAAAAAGAAGAGTATAATATATAAGTCAAGCGCGATAATAATGATAAAAACAATTTACCGAAATAAGTCATCGAGATTCTATTAATTTTAGTTGCTAGTTTCTCCAAAAGTTTCCGTTACTCACCTCGTACCTCATAGATAAAGTAAAGACGGAACTATAGCAGCGAAACCACCAGTTCCGTAGTAGTTTAACACAAAAGAGTACATTCATCTACTAAATGTGCTCTTTTAATAATTGATTTCTGTTTTACTATATTATTCAGACGAATTCTTGGAAGTTTCATTAATCTTACCGAAAACGTATAATGTAAAATAGATTGTATCGCAAGGAAAGCATTATCTTTTATTCTTAGAAAATTTGTAGATTTCACATCACATTTTACAGAAAATTTTTGTTATCTTCCTATCTGTGGAATTGCGTTTTCCGTTTCGAATATTCGTCGACGTTGTGTGTGTGTGTGTGTGTGTGTGTGCGTATGTGTATGCATCAAATACAAGTTCATGTATTATATATTGTTTTGCACTTTACTCGTCATAAAAACGTACGAGTCCAATTTCATTCTTTTCAATATAATCTAAAGAGCATTTGGTTACTTTTTACACATTTATATATTCTTGGATAAAAATAAAATTGATATACAGTTGAAAGAAGAATCCTCAAATATTTATCTCGAATTTAATTATACATATAATATTAAATTTTCAGAAATTCATAATTTTAACAATATTATTTCAGATTGTTTTCAATACACGGAAATACACTATTTGCTACCATATTATAATCACAATTATAGAAAAATAAAAATTCAAAATTATTGACACAATTGGTATTTATAATATCTGAGACTTACTTCTAAAAACGTATTTCGAAGTCAGATTTCACGCGGATCTTTCATGATCATTGTGATCTATAAGCGCGCTTAAGATAAGTCGCTTTCAGAATTGACCCATCACGATACGAGGCTTAATTGTTGGCGAAATAAATTAACGGAGCGCATGCGATGCGCTTTAATTTATTCATCATTTATCCACGTACAACTATTTCCGGTACAGTGACTATAAAGTATGTTGTTTCAGCATGAACGATACAACTCTTCGTCAGAAGGGAAAGCTTGGGTATTACTAATGCAATTTACTAATGAATATCGAGGTCTATTGTTTATCGATAAATCTCGCTTCGCATAGTACATCGAGAACTTGCGTACACGAAACAGGAGAATATTCAAGGAGAAAAGTTTCGTCGTTACAGCACAATTCTACTCGTGCTGCGAATTATATAATTCTCGGACTGTCTATTGTATGTATAAAATAAATCGAAATTGAGAGAAAATTATTCTCGGAATAATTTTATTGAGAATAAATTCGTGAAATTAAACGTCGATCCTAATACTTTGCATATTCAAAAAAATATGCATAAGCATTTCTAATATAATAGAAATGCTTCGTACTTTAAAGAGCACTTTACGCAGCAGTATTAATATTTATTAAAATTCTTGAAAAATTTTTATTCAGAAGCCTTTTTTCTATAATAATATTTCTTTTCAATTGAACTTTTTTAATTAAACAAACTTTTCCTCATATATATGTCCTGTAATATTTTATACTTTTTTATTATACGTATATATTACTTGTGTTTAATAATAATTTACATTGGCAGTGTTTTTAAAGAGAGAACATTATTTCATTAGCATGCTTTTCATCATTCACGTTGGATTTTCCTATCATAATTTTGACATAACTGAGATAAAATAAGAGATTTCTATAATGTTTGGCACTAAAAAATTGACAGTAGATAAAAAATGTACTCGGGAAGCGCGACGCGACGGCTTGATGCGATACAACTGACGAACGTCAACAGCAATAACGACGCATTCAAATTTAAGTGGTGCACCTGCAACGACGAAATTGTCGTGAGATTAAATCCTCTACGAGTGTCGTAATCAGATCCAGGTAATAAACTCTCTATCTATAAATCCCACGCGCGTCTCTCTCCATTTCTACACAGCGTTTGTTTGTATCCCGCACACAATTTCGTTGTTCATGCCATCGTGCGCCTATATGTATTTTTCCTTTCCCAGAACAATTACCGCGTATTTTAATTAAAAATTCTATTAATTCGCCGCGGGTTTATGCGAACGACCGTCGCGGAACAAACGACGCCGTTCCAAAGTATTAAAAGATAGTTTTAAGAGGCCGCGAAACCGTTCCCACGTAATTCCCGTAAGGGAAAAGATCGCCGCGCTCTGCGGGAAACGTGCCCTTTCTCATTTTCTTTTTAATTTCTCCGACTCTTTAACAAAGTGTTAATCCCACCGGGGATCCGAGCAATGAACGGGAAGTTGTCAGAGTTTCGACTAATTGCGTTCGTGAATACGAAAATGCAACGATGCGGGAAACTTCATCGAGTCGTTCAATTTTTTTCCCTTTTTATTAAGTTTTAATATAAGTTCTAATAAAATTATGTCGTTCACAAAGCAAATCACATTAAAGAAAAACAGAGAGAGAGAGAGAGAAAATAAAATAAATCGTACATAAAATATATTAGTATATTTAGAATATCCGACAGACCTTCTAAAAATTTACGATGCACAATGCGGCGCAATGAAATTACATGTACGGTCGAACGAATATCCTTACTCGCGTGAAATATAGCTTAATTAGCAATTAGCTTGCAAAGTGCATCCGTAACAAAATACGGTCGCATCTGAATATCCAATTTACGTATTGATGTATGGGACCGTCAAAGCGGCGAAGTAATGTAGATATGAATAATAATTAATCGCCATGTGCCGGAGAACTATACTGAAACTTAATGCATCTCATTACTACGGAGATCCGCGTGTTTCACGCCACCAAAGAAACGTCCGCTTCGGCTTGTGTATGCCGGTACAGATGTTTATATATAATATATATACATATATATGTGTGTAACATATATATATATATATATGTGACACAACGCGTACTTCTATATATATATATATATATATAGAAGTACGCGTTGTGTCACCAGTTCGGGATTTGTAAAGGGGAACATCCTGGCGGTACACTTAGTACGGATAACAGCAACGTAAGATCTCGAGGTGGAGAACGACGTAAAGTTTGAGCTTAAAACACAATTTAGCGACAGCGTGTCTTCTATATCCACGACGGAATAGGTAAGATAGTTTGCGGAAACAGGTGGAGCGAGGAAACTCGTTCGACGTAGCATCCTTTCCGCCTTGAGATTTTGCTCTGGGAAAAACCTCGTCCGGAGAAAAATTTTGTTCGCCGGCGCATAGCAATTAACAGGCACTTGTGCTTCGCATCGCGCAAGCATCGTCGAGCTTTATTTACTTACCTTAATAAATAGTGTTCTAAGAGCGCGTACCAGTATTCTTTCGAACGCGATTCTTTATTCAAATATTTTCCCTACTATATTATTGCCGATTTTTTTCCGTTTTTTTTGCAAAGATTTAATTTTCAGAGTGCATATTAAGTAAAGCTTGGTATATTTTTTCATAATGATTTGTGAGTTTAATTTATCGTAAAATGATTACAAGTATTTGTAAAAGATAAAGTAATTGAGATTTTTATTTGTAATTACTATGCAAAGCTTTAAGAAAATGTTTTTTATTTTTCCTGTTAAATGCACTCTCTCGATGCAATGAATAATTCCATGTAATATATCAATTTATGTCTTTTTTTACAAAAGATAAATTCTTGTTAAACTAACTTTAATGTCTGATAATGTGTAATTACAAATAATATTTTATTCGAATAATGATATAAGTTCTAATTATACAATTCTAAAATAGTCACATCAAATTTTATTGTAATTTTATTTGCACGAAGTTACAATCATTAGGATAAATATATGAGTATAACGAAATTGATACGAGAGAGGTCGAAAATTTAATTAATTGAATTGCGAAATATCCAAAATAACTCGCACATATCTTCTAAATTTTAACTCAAAATCTTATCTCTACCGTTTAATTCTAATATTTAATTAACGATTAAGTATTCTCATA